CCAGAATTACAAACAGGGTATGATCAGGGTCAGTGCTCCTAGGTTAAGGGGAAATCAGCCCTGGTTCCTGTCCATTGTCCCTGTCCAGTAAGTCCCCTCCACTGACAGTGAAATAACCACTCTACCATGATATAGCGTAACGCAGTGTATATGCTACCAGACTAAGAAGCCAGAGAACGAGAGTTCAGATTCCACACAGCAGTTTGAGAATTTGATTTCATTTTATTTAAATCTGGGAATGAAAAGCTGATACCAGTAGTAATGACAGTGAGTTTTTGAATTTTCATTAAAACACAACTGTTTCACATATGTGCTTTCAGGGAGGAGATCTGCCATCCTTACCTCGTCTGGTCTACGTGTAACTCCAGGATGACACCAATGTGCTTCACTCTGAACTGTCCTCTGCTGTACCAAACTAATAACAGTGTTCAAGGAGTGCTGCCAACTCATGGAAAATGTAAGCTGGCTACACCAGTATTGGCCACATCCTGGACAGTGAACTGTATTACAATCTACAGCAGCAAAAAAAAAACAATGCAGAGCGGAAAACTAGAAAGGAGAAACCTGGTAGTAATTTTTTTCCTTTTTAAATCCAAGTAATGCCAGATGTTGCTGGGGCTGCAGGGTTTGACCAGTAGGGAGAGGCTGATTAGGCTGGGGTTTTTTTCCCTGGAATGTTGGAATCTGAAGGGTGACCCTTCAGAGGTTTATAAAATCTGATGGCCATCGATCAGGTGAATAGCAAAAGTCTTTTCCCTTGGGTAGGGGAGTTCAAAACCAGAGGGCATAATTTTAAGGTGAGAGGGGAAAGATTTGAAAGGGACCTAAGGAGCAACTTTTTCACGCAGAGGGTGGTGCATGTATGGAATGAGCTGCCACAGGAAGTGGTGGAGGCTGGTACAATTACAACATTTAAAAGGCATCAGGATGGGTGTATGAATTGGAAGGGTTTAAAGGGATATGGCCAAATGCTGGCAAATGGGACAAGGTCAGAATGGGATGTCCAGTTGGCATGGATGAGTTGGACCAGAGAGTCCGTTTCCCTGCTGTCTGACTCTACAACAAAGGATAATGTGCGCTAACCCAAACAGCAAGAATGAAAACATCTCTATGTTGCAAAGCAGCTGAGCAAGTCCTTGTGTTCAGTTCTCAAACAATTAGGCTGGGGTAAAATCAGAAAGTGCTGGAAATAGTCAACAGATCAGGCAGAGGAGAGGTCATGAAGGTCACTGACCTGAAACATTAATTCTCTTTCCCCCTCAAGACAGATTTGCCTGACTCACTGAATATGTGCAACATTTTCAGATTTCCAGTGTCTGCAGTATAGAGGCTTATAAAATCTGTGGGGCATTGATCAGGTGAATAGCAGAAGTCTTTTCCCTCAGGAAGGAAAGTCCAAAACTAAAGGGCATAGGTTTAAGGTGAGAGAGGAAAAGTTTAAAAGTGACCTGAGGGTCAACTTTTTCACACAGAGGGTGTTGCATATATGGAACAAGCTACCAGAGGAAGTGGTAGAAGTGGGTACAGTTACAGCATTTAAAGATATTTGGTTAGGTACATGAATAGGAGAGGTTTAGATGGATATGGGTGAAGTGCAGGCAAATGGGTCTAGCTCAGTTTAGGAAACCTGATTGGATTGGATGAGTTGGGCCAAATGTCTGTTTCTGTGCTGTATTTTCAATTAGACTGGAGCCTCTGCCTAGTTTTGTATGGAATATGAAGGTGAGGATGGTAGATTTTCCTCCTTAAATGATATTAATGAACCAGATCATTTTTTACAACTATTGACAGTTCCCTATTTCAGTTTAGACCTTTCTCTTAATTCACAGTTATTGAATTAATTCCAAAATCACCACCTGCCATGGTGGGATTTGAACCTATGACCCACACCATTAACCTGGGTTTTGGATTAATAGTCAAGTAACCATCACCATCTCCCCAGAAAAGAATGAGAGAACTGGAGGAAAATGCTAGGTGCAGACCTGGAGATTTCCAGTGTTCCCATCAAGCCCACTATTGGACTATCGTGATACTGTTGTCTGCCACTGCAAATGCAGCATGTACAGGAGAAGTGAGTTTTGTTCGGTAGCTATGGATTATAGCACAGGCGTCAGCATCGTAGAATAGGATTTCACCTCCATCATAGTCCACCAGTACACCAATCAACTTTGGGCGCCTCAGCAGATCCAGGGTCTTCCGCTGGCCATCATGGGCGACCGTGTACTCTTCATCGTAGCGGGAGAAGACCCAGGAGGATGAGTTATATCCGAGCCGGGACTCGTGGCCAGTCCCCTTGCGTGGAAGGCAGCTGTAAGCCAGGCCCACTTTGTAGGCACAGCTATTCCCCACGTCCACTCTCCAGGTATGAAGACCGCTCCGGAAAGACTCCAGGCCCAGGGCGTTTGGCCAGTGCTCAAAGCGCTCAGGACAGTCTGAGTACGAATGGACTTTCTTCCTGACAAAGGTCAGTCCCTTTTTATTCTCAGACAGTGTCAGAGATGAGTGCAACGTTTTCTCATCAATGTGCAAGTCTTCAGCAACTGAAACACAAGATTCTTGTGTTACTAATAATCCTTACCCATTACAATTTTTACATATCCAGGTCACCAGAGTTGGACATGGATTGATATTTACTCTTTCCATTTGAAAACAAAACAATATTTAATGTCATGGGTTCCAGAGATTCGAGCACAAAGTCTTTTGCAGTAGTGTGGAAATGCTGCACTGGCACAAATACTGCAAATGTTGTCTTTGAATGAGATATTAAACCATCAGCCTGCCGGCCCTCACTCTGAATAACAGGATGCTAACCCTAATCCAACTCCTAACCCATCCCCCTATATCCTGGCTGATATTTGCACCAAAACAGACAGTCTGATCATTCTCCCAGTGAAAGCTTACTCCTCTAACAATGACCACACTTTAAAAAGAACTTCACTGCCAAGAAGCACTTTGGGACATCTTAAGATCATAAATGACACTGTGTAAATTCAAGTGTATCAACTGGAGATCATAAAATCCCTAACAGTGTGGAAGCAGACCATTCGGCCCATCAAGTTCACAACACTCCGAACAGCATCCCACCCAGAACCATCGCTGCCCACACCCTATCCCTGTAACCCTGCACTCCCCATGCCTAACCCACCTAGCCTGCAAATCCCTGGATACTATGGGCAATTTGGCATGGCCAATCCACCTAACCTGCACATCTTTAGACTATGGGAGGAAACTGGAGCACCCAGAAGAAACCCACGCAGACACAGGGAGAATGTGGAAACCCCATACAGACAGTTGCGTGAGCGTGGGATCAAACCTGGGTCTCTGCCATGGTGAGGCACCAGTGCTAACCACTGAGCCACTGTGCTGGTGCTCTGTAATGGAAAATGTTATCCTCAAGGAAGTGGTGTCAGCAACAAGGAATGCATCATGAAACTTTCTCCCTGCTTGTTCCCACTGACATTCCAATGCCCCTCATCTCACTGGTGCTATCCGTTAAAAGTACTGGTTTACTGAGCTCAATAGATTGAGACTGCCCAAGCACATTTTCCACTGAATCATTACCAGGAATCAGAAGGCATTCCCACCCCATTAGGAGCAGCCTGACTCTGAACCCCTACCCTGCTGTGAGTCAAAGACCAGTGATCTGGGCCATTCCACTACCACATTCCTCAGTTTGGGCTTGTAGAAATATCACAGAAGTAAAGCTGAGGTGAGGGTAGGTGCCTGTCTGAACTCACAATCATAGATTCATAGAGATGTACAGCATGGAAACAGACCCTTCAGTCCAACTCGTCCATGCCGACTAAATATCCTAAATTAATCTAGTCCCATTTGCCAGCATTTGGACCATATCCCTTTAAAAGCTTCCTATTTGTATACCCATCCAAATGCCTTTTAAATGTTGTAATCGTACCAGCCTCCACCACTTCCTCTGGCAGACTCATTCCATACATGCATCACCCTCTGCGTGAAAAAGTTGCCCCTTAGGTCCCTTTTACATCTTGCCCCACTCACCTTAAAACTATGCCCTCTAATTTTAGACTCCCCTGTCCCAGGAAAAAGATTGTGTCTATTCACTCATGATTTTAAAAACCTCTATAAGGTCACCCCTCAGCCTCCAATGCTCCAGGGAAAATAGCCCCAGCCTATTCAGCCTCACCCCACAGCTCAAACCCTCCAACCCTGGCAACATCCTTGTAAATCTTTTCTGAACCCTTTCAAGTTTCACAACAACCTTCCTACGGCAGGAAGACCAGAATTGCACACAGTATTCCAAAAGTGGCCTAACCAATGTACTGTACAGCTGCAACATGACCTCCCAACTCCTATACTCAATGCACTGACCAATAAAGGCAAGCATACCAAATGCCTTCTTCACTATCCAATCTACCTACAACTCCACTTTCAAGGAACTATGAAGCTGCGCTCCAAGGTCTCTTTGTTCAGCAACACTCCCCAGGACCTTACCATTAAGAATATATGTCCTGCCCTGATTTGCCTTTCCAAAATACAGCACCTCACAATTATCTAAATTAAACTCTATCTGCCACTCCTTGGCCCATTGACCCATCTGATCAAGATTCTGTTTTACTTTGAGGTAACCTTTTTCACCGTCCACTAAACTTCCAATTTCGGTGTCATTTGTAAACATACTAACCATACCTCCTATGTTCACATCTAAATCATTTATATAAATGACGAAAAGCAGTGGACCCAGCACCGATCCTGTGACACACTGCTGGTCACAGGCCTCCAGTCTGAAAAGCAACTCCCCACCACCACCCTCTGTCTTCTACCTTCGAGCCAGTTCTGTATCCAAATGGCTAGTTCTTCCTGTATTCCATGTGATCTAACCTTGCTTATTAGCCTACCATGAGGAACCTTGTCGAACGCCTTACTGAAGTCTATATAGATCACATCCACTGCTCTGCCCTCATCAATCCTCTTCATTACTTCTTCAAAAAACTCAATTAAGTTAGTGAAACATGATTTCCTATGCACAAAGACTATCCCTAATCAGTCCTTGTCTTTCCAAGTACATGTAAATCCTGTCTCTCAAATTCCCTCCAATAACTTGCCCACCAGCGATATCAGGCTCACCAGACTATAGTTCCCTGGCTTTTCCTTACCACTTTTCTTAAATAGTGGCACCATGTTAATCAACCTCCAGTCTTCCAGCACCTCACCTGTGGCTATCAATGATACAAATATCTCAGCAAGGGGCCCAATCACTTCCCTAGCTTCCCACAGAGTTCTAGGGTACACTGCAAGGTGAGGAACAGATAACTGATGGAAGATCCTTATTTGATGTTCCAGGTTGCTAATTGTATCCAAGCTGATAGCCCCTCTCTCAGTAACGTTGCAAGATCATTTCAAATTAAGAAGCGGTTTTAGGTGGTGACAGTGACAACTTATGAGCGGCCATCCACTCCAAAGACTCTGGAATCTCTGGATCTAAATATCTCCTCTTAGATACTGCCTAAAAGCTACCTCTTTGACCATTAATATGTGGCTCAATGTCCTGTTTTTGTTTCGTTAAAACCCTGTGGAGTGGCTTGAAACATTTTATATGTTAACGATGCCAACATAATCAATTTCTTTTTGCTTATGTCCCTTTCAATCTGGTAAATTAAGCTGAGATAAAGATCAGACATGGTAGTTTCATACAGTACAGAAGATTTAATTGAACAGCGGGTCAGGAGCTGAAAAACCCGCTGTGACTCCTATTTTCCATTGTGTTTACAAAATTCCTGTATATTTTGCAAAGCTCTTGAACCTGCCAGTAAACATGTGAAAATCTGAGTAATTTATCCAACTAAATAATTAAAATTCAAACCTTGAAGGTGCTATCTCAGTGAGAACACACTTCATTGCTGATTTGAATGAATTAAATCAGGCACACTCACTGACCATGGGGCTGTGTTAACATATCGCTGGGTAGAGGATATGATTTGTGATATATTCCGCACTCTGCAGGATTTTGAACCTCTCCCCTGGCTGTACAACTCATTTTGTTGATTAGCCACCCACTGTAAGAACTTCTTGATTTTCACTGACAACTGGGAGAAAATGAGGCTGTTTCTACGACAGCTTATTTGCTGTGTGAGCTTCACTCCCAGACAGCAAGGCGTGTACGACTCTGGTCATATCACTCACAAGAGTGGGACCAACAGCACAAACAGACATGGCTGGACAGAGTAAGGTGACTGATTATCAGTGTCAGAGCCCATTCTCACAATGCTGGCTCCAGGCTTCCTCATACCTTGTCACGAGCCTGAAGTTTGTGTTTTATTTTCAGCAAATACACTGCACCTTTACCCTCTAACAAAACCCAGCATAGGCTCCACGACAACACACCATGTCAGATTTCACACAAGCTTTGGCAACGCCCTACTCTATTTCACCATTGCCTCTCTCAACCCCTACATTGTCTTTGATTCGTCATGCTGTTTGTCCAACATCTAGTACAAGCTGAGCAGAAATGTCCTCCAATTAAATACAGAGAAGACCAAAGCTATGGAAAATGTCAAGGGAAGGAGACACTCACAGTAGCACAGATACCTCAGGAGGTTGTTAGGCCTGAAGTGGTTGCAGGTGTAGTCTTCTCCACGTGTGAGCCATCTTGCATCATTCCTCATCCAACTTATAGCACAGTCCTGTATTTATTCCTTTCCCTCATGTGCTACCCAAGCTTCCCTTTAACCGTATTGATAATATTCATCTCTACCACCCACTGTGAGCAAGTTCCCCACTCTGGGTGTCACCTGAATCCTGACTGGATTTATCGGCACCTCCTCTCTGTCTATGCTAATTTCTTTAATTGTATCACAGACCTCTCTCACACATTCTATACTCCTCTACGGCAATTTTGCAGCAAAGCCCAGGCTCTTATAGTTGATGAGTTACAAAGCAACCTGTAATCTTGCTGGCAATAACTATGATCTCACACTGACAATGGAAGAATTGGCTAATTTATATTATTTGTTATCGGTTATGCAGGTAAAAACAGGGAAGGAAACAATTGTGAGTTATTTTATGTTCACCTCAGATAATCAGATCTATTTACATTCCCATAATTTAAGAAATGAAATATTCATGAAATATTTTGGAGGACTAGTGCAGATACAATGCCGTTGTTGTTGTGCAGGAAGTGTATCACAGAGTCATAGAGATATACAGCACGTAAACAGACCCTTCGGTCCAACTTATCCACGCCGACCAGATATCCTAAGTAAATAAATCAATCCAGCATTGTCCCATATCCCTCTAAACCCTTCCTATTCATGTACCCATCCAGAAGCTTTTTAAATGTTGTAATTGTACCAGCCCCCACCACTTCACTTCCTCTGGCAGCTTATTTCCATACATGCACCACCCTCTGCGTGAAAACATTGCCCCTTAGGTCCCTTTTATATCTTTCCCCTCTCACCTTAACCTATGCCCTCTAGTTTTGGACTCCCTGATCCCAGGGAAAAGACCTTGACTATTCACTCTATCCATGCCCCTCATGATTTTAAAGATCTCTATAAGGTCACCCCTC